CTGAGGTAATAAGCATTATAAAAGTGTAAAAATAGGTTTTAATAGCAGAAATGCTTTGTAAGAAATTATTACTAGAAATAAATTTTTGAAGAAAAAAACTATTACCAGTAATACGTTTTTGAAACAAAAATTACCAGCTATACCTTTTCGAGATAAAAATATTTCCAGAAATAGATTTTTGACAAAACAAAAATATTACCAGGAAAAAAAAGTTGTCGGCAATTAAATGACCCATTGGTGTTGATATGCCGTAAAACAAACCAAACCAAACACAACCTTCTTCGTCTCCAATCATAAGCTCTGTTTAATCTTTGGTAAATTAAAGTACTTGATAATTTCTCCAAGTATGAAGATTCTTTGGTGATATTATTTTGGTCTATTGACGCAGCCGATATCATCATCCATACTCCTTTTTTTTTAATGTAATGGTGTATAGTGTTGGTATCTTCCTAGAAAAATAACCAGGCGAGTGAGACTTACTACATGAGTCATACTCAAACGAGTAAAATCTTGTGTAATCTTCCTGCAAAGATTACTGTGTTTAAATGCATTCTGAAATAGATACTGATACCAATATGTCTTCCTTGAGTGATACTTTAACGAGTAAGAATTCATATTTCCTGAAGTGGTACTCAGCCGAGTAAAGCTTGATATTTGTTAACTTTGCATACGAAACACTATATTAAAAACATAAAGGGAGATAACTGGAAAGCAAGTTTGAAAATATCTTGCATGTGTTTGTTTGTTTATCTGCATATCAACTCCTTATGGGTCATTTAATTTAATTTTCTTGGGAGCTTTGCAGTAAAAAATATATATGCTATTCTGCTTTCACAATTGAATACATGGTAGATGATACTCAGCTTTTGTGCATATACATATTTGTGCAGACATAATTACTACAGACGATGATATATGTTTTATGTTGCAGTTTTGTTGAAGTTATATTTTGGAATATAGTTTTATTTCGTTAAGAAATTGTTGAATATTATATGGATTAATGTCATGAAAGAGTCCTTTCATATTGGTTGTTTGATTTTGTTTAGCGGTGTATCAACCTCTATAGTTTAATGAATGATGAAATCTGCGTATTTTAAATGCATCTACAGATATTTGCCATTTTGCTATAAAATGTATTGTTGGTCATTTTGCTATAAATAGGTATTGTTGGTCATTTTAATATAAATTTTCACATTTCATTTTTATAGTATTCTGTCTTTGTTTGGGGCTTCACTATTTGTCCATAGCTGGGAGCCTAACAAATGCTACCACCCAGGATCAGAGTGGACCTGGGAACAATAGCAATTAAGAGGTGGTTCCACGATCCTCAAAATCTCCATTCTCCACGTCAGAGGCCTTGCTACCGGGTGTAGTTTACCGTCATACCCAAGACTGATGTTGCATGTGAAAATTTTAATTAACACAAAGGTATTAGTCAAGGTATTTTTAAAGAAATTTTTCTACAAATACAAAAAGATTTACACTGTCATCTCTCCCAGACATCAAAGCAATGTATTTTCTCAAAGATTTAGCTACTGGAATTAAGAAACCTGTTTTCCTGAAAAGCTGTTTTAAGAGAAAGATTTGATAAATTACAACCGAAAGTAGTACTGACTGTTCGGTCAATGAATGCCAAATATTTCCTTATTAGGAAACGGTTAATATTACTACTATTAAGATGACTATTAACATTATTCTAGAACAGAACTATTTTATTATAAAGACCGCTTGCCTAAAACGAAGTACCTCTACTTTTTTGCTAAAAAAGAGAATACCATGATGAATATATATATATATATATATATATATATATATATATTCGAAAATTATAACATAAATATGTTATAAAATCACTACAAAAATAGCCATTTTGTTTCAACATTTCTGGTTTCTTATCAAGTGATGGTGTTGAATGATGAATTTCTACATTCAACACCATCACTTGATAAGACACCAGATGTGTTGAAACAAAATATTTCAAGTGATTTTATAACATATTTATGTTATAATTTTGAATAAATTATATTTGCTCTACTCTGTATTCTTTTAAGAATAGTATTTGTTGGTTATTGTATTTTATTCCGTATACAACAATCCTACACTTGTATATATATATATATATATATATATATATAATAGAGGGATTGCCCAGCGCTCTCCCCAATATCATAACTTTACAACTATGTATTTATGATGACGACACAATTAATTAATTAGTAGAAAGTCTGAGAGACCCGACAAAGTAAACCTGGCAACTGCTCTCGAAAAGAACCTCTAAACAGTGGTTAACTGGGACAAGTAATGGCTTGTAATTTTTAACGCCTCCAAAACAAAACCACTTTCATTTAATCATCATAGAGAACCATTTCTGCTTGCCACCAACATGGCTGATGCTAACCTCCCTAAAAGCAACTCTTTGTGTCTTCTTGTGATCACGTTTTCTATTGACATGAAGTGCAATGATTATATTGAATCAATTGCTAGGTCTACTGCTAGGAAAGTTGATTCATTTGCCAGACAATTTCTATTCTTAGAATCCCTCTAGCACATTTACGAATCAATCATTCGTCTGTGCAGCCTTTTCTGGTTTGGTACTACTGCTAAATATCTCGAGATTCTTGAAAATAATTCAAACAAGGGTCTGTAATGTAATCGATCCTGACCTGGTATCTCGATTTCAGTCATTTTCTCACCCGACCTGAGATGACTTCCCTCTGTGTTTTCTACAAATACATTTCATGACAATTGTTCTAATTAGCTTGCCTCCTTGGTGCCTCGAATGGATGAATTTAAACGTCATAGATTCTCTAAAAGTTTTCATCGTCTTACTGGTGAACTTCTTAGATGCAGCCGTATATTCTATTTTAATAATTTCTTTTCTCGCACTTCTCGTTTCCGATTTTTTACCATCAACAAACTTCAAAAATTTCAAAGCAATAACAATCGCCATTTTCTATGCTCTTAAATCCTTTCCTTTTATTGTCCTTTCTCTTCACTAAAGAATGCTCATTCTCTCTCATTCCCAGGAAACCCCTTACGTCGTAATGGCATTATCGCCTTGTTCGGACTGAAATGATTTTTAAAAAAATACAAAAAACAAAACAAAAACTAAATATACTTCTAATAGATCCATTTAGACTTATATTTTCGTATTCGATTGTTAAAATGCACGATTTTCGGTTAGACAACGAATGAGATATGCCAAGTTCAAGCTACGGAAAGATACATTACTTTTAAGATTTATTCATTTATGAGTGGCCAACAACTGTAGCAGGATAGCGATCAAGATTAGTTCGCATGTAAAATGCTATAAAATTGTGGCTTTGAGTCAAATAATAACTCTCTCGTGTCTAATAAATTGGGTTGGGAGCTCATAACTAAGAGGCAGGAGGTAGTAATTTCTTTTAAATTCTTAGTTTGGTGAAGTCAAAATAAGTTGGTACCTCTTGTGCCTCATGTTTTCCCATATAAATCAACGGAATTAGCACGAGAAGAAAGTATTAAACGTTAAACGTAAGAAAACAGAATGCACGATGGTTAAGATAACAAAACCCCATGCAAATTATATATTTTAAATACTAAAATTGAACAAGTGCAACAATTTAAATATCTGAGAAGTGTTGTAATAGACGACGGAAAGTGCAATATTGAAATCCGAAAGGGCATTGTGATAGAGAAAGATGCCTTCCAAAAGCTAAGCAAAGTATTAAGAAGCAGAAAAATTTCATTAGAAACAAAGAAAAGAGTACTAAACTGTTAAGTAATATTAGTTCTCCTATATGTCTGTGAATGCTATAGATGAAAAAGCTGTTGAAATCTGGCTCTACAGAAGGATACTGAGAATACCATGGACCAAACATGTGGGCAACGGCGAAGCTTTAGAGAAAAAGGTATAACCTACCTAGCGAGCTTGAGTAAATGTAAGATGGAGCAAAGTTTTGAAGAAATAACTAAAAAAAACAAAATTTATTAAAACCTAAAAAGGGTAGGAAATTGTGGAGGATCGCCAACGTCCTGAAGGGACAAGGCACATAGAAGAAGAAGAGACCTTAATTTTTAAGTCCGAAAATGTATCTATTGATGGGTCTGGTGACTAAGGTAATGTCATATTTCTCTTTTGTGTGAGATGTTAGATTTCGAACCGGGAGAAAACATAGTTTTTGATGTTGATATTTAATACGGACTCTCCCTATTTAAAAGATTGTTAATATATTCTTTTATACTTGAACTTGTATGATACTGTAATAAATCGCTCCGAGAGGTTATAATATTATTTCCCGCCAGGTCTACTTGCTGTGACATCATTAGAAATTCTCCACGACTGACTTAAATGGTCATCCCTTGAATCACTTTGAGTTTTTTATTTAAGGCGTCTTGCCTAGTTCATTTGTGTTACCGGAGTGTCTTATTTACTTCACAACACATTCTTAAGCTTGGATGCTATTACAGATATCTTCTCATGTGTCTTAAACATGTGAAATGATGGAAAGTACAAAATGGTGGTGATAATGGAAATGTACCAATCTGAGTTTAGGATACATTGTACAGTCCGACTTCTTTAATCCGGCACCTTTGGAACCAGGACACTGCCAGATGACAGGCATTACCCTTAACAACCCTATATAAATATAACCTTTTCAGCTCATTCTACATATATATATTGCTGTGTTATCAAAGGTAGAACAAATCATAAAAGGGAAAATAAAACAATCATTAATGCTTCCAAGCAATTTTTTTATTGTTTCATGCAAGATAAAGATTAAAAACGCATAAAATCAAAATAATAATATATACTTACTCTCCTGACTGGGTAAATATATAGCTCTATATAAGAAATGAGCAAGAATTTTGTCACCAAAACACGCTGCGGCTGTCGACTACTGCGGAAAGTTGTAGGCAATGTTTGGCACTGAATGAACTCAGTGGCCACTGCTTCAATAAAGTGCCGGACAATTGAGTGCTGGATTAAAGAAGTCCGACTGTAATTCCTTGTCGTTTATGACCACGTCACATTGAAACACCGGTTCCTGTACGATCACCGAAGTTAAGCAACGTCGAGCCTGGTCAGTACTTAGATGGAAGATCGCATGGGAATATCAGACGCTGTAAGCTTGGATGTGTGGGTCGTTTAATGGATAATAATTCGGAATTATTAGTCAGAGAGCCGAGTTCCAATTCCCGTTGGGTCCGTTATATTCACTGACGCGCAAATAATCTTGAGAAAGGTATCAATCCACCTCTTTCCCCTCCAACTATGGGTTAATTAGTAAAACTTGTATCAGTAAATAATTTCCGTCCATCACCACCAGTAAATCATTATCCGCCCACCACCACCAAAAATATTTCTTAGAGTATAAAAATATTTTCTGGCTTTAAATAACGTACAAAGTGTTGATGAAACGGAAAAAATCGAATCAATGTATTTTCTTGCGGAAAAAAAAAACTCGTAAAATAAAAGTGTAAATTTAATTTCCTTATAGAGAGATCCGTATTTGCAACATCATAATTTTCAGCATAGGAAATTCTACATTAAGAAAAAAAATTATGATTCGCTCTATCTTAGAACATCTTCCCTAACAAACGAATAAAATTCAACTTTTCGATATAAGCATCGCTTTTAAATTCTTTAATAAATAGGAAGATGTTTCATGGCGGACGATTGGCTATTTACAAGTAAAGGGTGTTTCGTTAAGACGGATTATATATAAGGGTGTTTCATTAAGACGGATCAAAGTCAGTAGTAAATAAATCAGTGTTAATGGTGAAAATTTACTTATTTCTCTTTTGGATCATGTTATTTAAGTCATGGCAATTATGTGTGGAAAAATAATATCGCCGAAATGTCCGCCAAATCTGAAAGAAAAAGAAAAAATCATTAGACGCTTAAATCGGTCCAAGTTATTGGAACACCCTTTATAAGAAATAAGTTTAATCCCAGTAAGCTACGTTAATCCCTATGAAGCAAGAAAACTAAAAAAAAATATATATATATATATGAACGGTTCGTTTTTTATGCACCGTCTCCTTTCAGGGCGTGGTCAAGCCTTACCCTTCCTTATTCTTTGTCTCCCTCAGTCACTTAGGACTTCATGTTTGTCTGTTTACTATCTCTTCTACTCCATCTTCTGCTATCCATTTACATAAGCTCGTTAGGTATGTTACTTGCTGCTTCCCTCAGCCTCACTAGCATTCAGTGTGCCCTCTGAGTATCACATTCTCTAAGCCCACTTTCCTCATTATGCGTCGGAACAATGTCAGCTGTCTCTTTCTTATTCTAAATATCAGCGTCATTTTTCTTTCTATTTTCCTCAAAACTTCCTCGTAGATTACATGTTCTATGTTATTCTCAGCATCCTTCTGTAGAATTACCTTTGCCTCAACCGTCCCCTTCATCCGTGATGAAATTGTCCAGTATTCAGTGTCATATAGAAGAATTATTATTATATAGCAATGCAGCACTCTTTTTGTTTAAAAAATTTTCAATACTTTTAGTTTTTGGAAGGCATGTTTCGCTATTTTAAGTAGTTGTTTAACACACCCCAATAGTACCTGTAAAAAATGAGTAAATTATTTACACATAGAGGGATATACTTCTGCTAGTATTTGTGTCGTATCTGCGTGCTTTATCAACATGTCACTTCCTGGCATTCCTGGCTAGGACCAGTTTAAGGTATCTTCTCTCTGGCTAACTTGTTAATTTTATAATGCTGTTTAAGCAGCTGAATGCTGACGTAATGGATATGCAATTTTCATGATAACCTACATGTCGGAATTCCGAATAGTGGCAGAATTCACTAACTAAAGGTTTATCCCTTATTTCCTGTTTACGATTTGGTTTTCGATTTCTTCTGAATTTTTTTAATTCTCTTTCATTCCCAGTCGTCCTCTTGCGTTTTAGTGACATTATCGTCTTGCTTGAGGTGAATTAATTAAAAAAATATATTTATTTCGATGTCACGTTTTTTTCCGTCTTTTCTTAAAATACATTCCTGGTGGGTAAATTTCTCTAGTTGTCTGATTTTGACCCCTCCAATTGGTAACTCGCATCTTGGGTTTTTTTTCTCTTACAAATAACCATGAGTAAATAAAAATGTTGATCCAACATTTTTATAAACCAGGAAAGTTGTCTTGTGAAGGTTAAAAAATTAGGCGACTCGCCGTAAAATAATTGCTTGTTTCAGAGACTATTATTCCTTTTGTGAATTCCACCCTTATTGTGTGTCTCGTACTTGTAAGCAATTCTGTGAACAGCAAACAATTGTTTCAATATTCCTCGTTCGGGAACAATATAGTCAGAGCTTTTTAATCCGAAACTTTTTAAAAAATCAGCCATAATTATTTCGTTGAACGGCATCGCAGTCAACGCCAAACATTGTTTAAAACTTTTCGACGACTTTAGACGACAGCAGCAGAATGATACGGTCTTGCTCATTTCTTATAAGGATTTTCCAAGCAGAGCTTAGATGTGGCACAACGACAAAAGTGTGTTGGGGCACTTAATGAGGATCGAACTCACAACTCGTAATTGTTCTAGAGAGACAAGCTCGCTAATCATTGCACCGCCTTGAGGAGCCCCTTGCCCATTTCTTATATATATCTGCATATTTACCCATTCAGGTTAGTATTATTTTATATATTTATATATATATATATATATATATAGATAGATAGATAGTTTTATAGATAGTTTTAGACTTTCCTGTTTTAACACAGAAATATATATGTGGAATGAGTTGACAAACTATGTCAATATAGATTTTATTTAGGTGTGATTTCTGTCATCTGGAAATTTCTGTGGTTCGGCAGCGGCCTGATCTCAAAGGTGCCGGATTAAAGAGGTCGGACTTTATTTAGAAAGCGTGTCTCACACCATATATCCTTCTAACTTACTGTTATGCTTAGTAAATCATTTTACAGTCGAAATGGCTAGATGTAACCGTTAGTTCTATGCTAACAGTTTCTTCTTCTCGCACTTCTTGCTTGTGGAACTCTCTTCCGACTTCTCGCTTTGCAGTCAAATTTGATATTCAAACATTTAAATGCAATCACAATCGTTATATTCTGTCTTTTAAAATTCTGTTCTTTTATTGTGTTCGTTTCTTAATAATGTTTTTTCTTTCACACGCAGTAACCCCCCGCGTCTTACTGGCTCTGTTACCTTGCTTGGGGCGAAATGGTTTTTTTAAACCATCAGTCAGTCATGTGCCATGCGTGATACACGCTTAGGCCATCATGTATCTTTCGGTACATGACTGACTAGGCAGATTTTTATCCCGATGCCATTTCTTTCTGAGGTAGACCAATAGCCATTCAAGGCTATAGAACCCGATCTGTCCTGCTATTTACCCATAGCTGGGGGGGAGGGGGAGAAGAGGATTCATGCCTTTCCTAAGGGTATTATTAGCACGCAAGTGAATATAATGGATTCGACTGCAATTCGAACTCGGCTCTCCGAATCCTCGATCCGAGCCGCTATCCATTACTGAGCTATTTAATTCTTTGTTCTGCCGAATCCAGCAGTTTGCTATTGAGTACCCTGTCTTCCGAAAGTAATGGCATATTATCGGTTTACATTCCCGTCCGATTGTTCGTCGGTCTCTAACTGCAATTCGAACTCGGATCTCCGATTCCTCAATCCGAGCTTCTATCATTAAGATAAGACTTTTTAAAAGTGTCGAAAAATTAGTACTTATTCAATTCTTTAATTACTCGTTTCAATTTTTTTTTTGTTAGTAAATTTTAGTCACTAGTACCATCTACGTGGTACAAAAAGTTTGAAATTAAAGCAGCATATCTTTTAGTTCTATGTTCTCAAAAAAGGGCTATCAACCCGTGCTAAAGAGCCTGTAAACGCTTTTGATACGAGAATCGTAAAATGATTAGGACTGAAATCTCCCACTTGAAGTAATTAACTTAAAACCAATTATGATCCGCATCCAGATATTTAATTGCTTACAAACAAAATATGAAATTTTAATTTTTTTTTCTTAATTACATCAATCATCCTCTTCCGTTTGTATCTTGTAAAAACATCGCACAATTTTCGCAGTTAAATTTTATCCACATGCACGTACACACACACACACACACACACACACACACACATATATATATATATATATATATATATATATATATATATATATATATATAAATGATCCCTTTCTTCCCTTTTAAATATTTCGGATGTGCATTGAAACATTTCAATTTTGTCGAGCATTTTGCCGTCAAGTCGCGTCAATAGGACGCGCGCCAAATAATACAAACAGCAACGGAAATCGTAACTTCCTTTCTAATGACGCCTGAAGGTGAAACTTGGAGTCTTCCTTAATTATAAATGTGTGTTCCAATCTAGTTATTCTGCCAACTGTGACAGCTTTCAGCTTTGTTGCTTCAAGAGCAAAATGATTTTGACCTATTATCATGGCAATTAAAAAAAATAAAACTGATGGGAAACTCAAATGTTCTCAAAACAACAATACAGACAAACTTGGGACAGAAGAACTCTATCTGGACAGCAGAACTATATCTGCTACTAACGCAAACTTATATTTTTTTAATATAATAATTGTTTTAATTCGAAATAATAGTCATAATATTTTCCTGATTTATTTTTCTGAAACTCTTTCTATCACTTTGCTCCAAACACCATTATGTAATTTACGCTGAAACTTTTAATGGTTTATTTTAATATAGAACTGCGTAATAAAATCTGACGTGTTCTATATCGCATTCAGTCTCTTGTGGAAAAGGCATGAATCCATCTGTTCTCCTCCATTAATGGATTAAGTTGCAGAGTAGACTCTCTAGCCTTGAGTGGTAGGTACAAGCAAAGAAAAATGACCTTTTTCCCTCCAGGAAGACATGGATATGCACATATAACGAATCTCGGGAGACCCATAACCAGTTACAATGCATATAGCATTAGTGTGTGTGTGTGTGTGTGTGTGCGCGCGCGCGCGTGTGTGTGTGTCAGTGTGTGTTTGTGTGTGTTTGTGTGTGTGTGTGAAACTAAAATGTGTTTGTATATCCACAAAAAAAAAGAGTTTCAGCTGGAAATTTCTAGATGGTAAGCAGGCTTTACAATGAAAATGCGCAGTATCAAGAGAC